CACACACACACACACACACACACACGCCATTCAGAAACAACTTTGAGATTTCATGTTACCCCAGTCAGAACAGCTACCATCAAAAAAAGGGAAAAAAAGTAAATGAGGAAAAGGAATAAGGCAAAATGCATTCTGGGTAGTAATGTAGACTAATACAAGTACAAAAATCAGTATGGAGATTCCTCAAAAAGGTGAAAATAGAAATTTTACTTGATCCAGCTACACTTCTCTTAGTTATATTCCCAAAAGAATTAAAGACATCATACTATACCGATACACGCATATCCATGTTTATAGCAGCACATGTCACAAAAGCTACACTCTGGACACAGACTAAATGCCCATCAATAGATGAATGGATAAAGAAAACATGGTATATATATGCAATAGAATATTAGCCAAAATAAAAAATAAAATCATGTTATCTGTAGGAAAATGGATCTTGAAACCATCATACTAAACAAAATAAGGCAGAATTAGAAAGTTAAATATCACATTTTTCTTCTATGAGAAAATAAAAATATTAATAAAGGAGATGATAGGAACCTGAAAGGTACTCTTAGTGATAGAAAAGGGAGTCAGGGGAAGGGGAAGGGGAAAAGGAGAGAGGTGTAAAGGAATTGAAATGATCACTATTTGTTATATACATGTACAATTTCCCAAAATGAACATCACTTTATCACCTACGTACTAATAATTTTATTTTTAAAAAGAAACTCCCATTTAAAAAAAACAATATAAAGCTCAGGCTAGTGAATAATATGTGTCACAAAGCTGGGGAAATATTTTTGGATAAAAAGGCTCTACAATCTATGATAATAAAGCAATAAACTAGTTTCATCTATGACTCATACAAACAGCTCAGAGATGAGTTACTTCTCCATGGATTTAGAGGCTCGTTTCCTAAGCTTACAATGGTCTGTGCTATGTCTGTCCCACTCAGAGCAGGTGCCCTCTGTTCTCTTTCCTGCTGAACAACTGCCCCCTCACTGCACTGATGCCTGCTTAAACAGTCACTTCTTCCAAAAGGCCTCTCCTCACTGTCTGCAGTAAAATAAAGCCATCCCTGTTGCTCATCTCTGACTTTGCTTTTTCTTTTTCCTGAACTTACTCATATCTGACATGTTCTACATCTTTGTATTTTGTACTTTTATGCTTATTTTGTTAATATCTATTTCTGACACTAAATGTTAGTTCTGTGATGAAAATTACTTTTCTCACTGTGGGAACTCTATACTGCTTCTGTACATCCAAATTTCAGATAACAAATTATAGGTTTACAGGGAAAGAAGAGAAAAATGGGATAAGAAATGGAAAGAAGTTCAATAAAGGTAACAAATAGCAAAAAGAAGGAAGAAAAATCTAGATGATTCACAATGTTATTTTATGTAGTATTATCGTTGATACTTGTGTCAACTTGAGAAATCTAGAAGCTTAACTAAGTAACTCAGGAGTTCTACATCCTGGGGTGTACAGGACAATTCCTTGCCATTCTAGGATGTTGTTCATTGTGTCAATTTGAGATGTTGACACAAGGTTAACTAAATGATTCAGCAGGGGTCCAGAGCCTTCACTTTATAAGCACCCTCATCCTCTGCAAGAGGAGGGCATGGAGATGGTGTGAGTGCTATACCCACCCTGGGAGGGAGCAGCCTATTTACAATATAAGGGAGGAAAAGAGGCTCGTCCCTCTGTCCCCCATACCCTTCTTGCTCTTGGCTGCTTTTGTCTTCTTCTGCTGCCTTGCCCCAATGCCACACCACCCTGCCTTGGAGCCAGCTGGTTATGGACTGAAACCTCCACAACCTGTGAGCTAAATAAACCTTTTCTTCCTTGATATTGGGTGTCAGGTATTTTGTCTCAGCAACCATCAGTATCAAGGATTTCCTGAGAAATTTTCTGCATGGGTAATTGCTTCTTTTGGAGATTTATTTCAAAAGAAATGGGTCCCTAAATGTAGAAACTTCATTACCTGCAGAAGCATTTGGGTGATAGCTACTATTATAATTACAATGGCCACCTCTTTTAATGTCTTATAAAGTGAATGAACATTTAAGAATTCTTGACCAAGCAGAGTACCTGCATGATTTTTAGTAGAACTGGCTTGGGTTGCCATTACTATGAATATTTTTAATTTCCCACACTTAATTGATATTTGATATTCTTACTGAACACACCTGCAGGTCTTTCCCCATACTACCCCAGTACAACGGGTGGAACTCACAGCCTTGTGCATACTAGGCAAGAGCCCTACCACTGAGCTATATTCCCAGCCTCTTATCCTTTAAGACAGGATCTTAGCTAAATTTCCCAGGCTAGTACTAAGCTTGCAATCATCCTGGCTCAATCTCCTGAGTAGCTAGAAGTACAGGCATGTACCACTTTGCCCAGCTCTTTTAGATTCTTGTTTAACAGATACCTTAGTTTGCTTGGGGTACTAATACCAAAGAACCACAGAATGGGTGCTGTATAAGCAACAAAAACTTATTTTTCACAGTTCTGGAGGCTGGGAGTCTGCTATCAGGTAGCAGCAGCATGGTCAGGCGCTGGTATTAGAGGCTACAGACTGCTCACCTTGCTCTGTACCATCTTTTGGCAGAAACACAAAAGGAGAGAGCTCACCGGGGTCTCTTTCATAAGGGTACTAATCTCATTCCTAAGTGTTTCCCTCCCCTCCCATGACTTAATCATTCCCAAATACCATCACACTGGGGATCAGGGCTTCATCATATGAACTTTAGGCCAACACAAACACTTGGTCCATAACATTATGACCTAGGAAATAAAGACAGGAAGCAAGCTTCTAACACCATTTACAACCCAATTATTTCTGTTGTGCCCTTCACTTATGGCACCAAGTTTCAAGGGTTAGTTCAAGAGATCCTATTCAATGGATATTCAAATCATATTTCTTGATTATTTTTGCTCGCTTAAATTGTCCATTCTTTATGCACAACTTATTAATAAGATTTATACTAAAGAATTCAGGGCAAAATGACACTAGTGTTTTAGCAAATCTGGTTAAAAATAATTCCTTTTTTCTGTTGGGTTTCTATTATAACCCTATAAATAAGGATCCTTTTTAAAAACTTCAGGAATTCAGATTTGAAGTTTTAGGCAAAGGGAAAGGTATAAAGTATGTCCTGTAAATTCTAAATAAATGTTAGAATTTTGAGACACATTTAAGAAAACTTAAATTTCCTGACTTGTAGGATCAAACAGTGCCCATGTACACATAACAAGACTACTGCATTCAGCAAACTGCACTTTCACATGCCAATTATCAGTAAAATATTAATTCCATCCTGAAAAATCATAAAATTTTCTACTGAGTATTATTCTTTGTTCTTTATAGTATCAAGTATAATCTACTAGTAGTACTAACATAGTATTAATAATTTGGTCCTAAAATCTAACATGTTATATTTTACACATGTTCTTAAATGATGCCTATTGTGCTTTAAGCCAAAGTACATTCTACACACCTTTACTATGTAGCCCAGCAATCTTATGAAGCTTTTGGCTCTTTTCTGAAGCAGAAATTTCTGGTGTGGGGGCAGAAGCACAAGCCGTCGGTGAGTTACCTGTACCAGGTATTCTTTTGGGAAATGTCATGGAGTAGGAGGTACGCCGTCTAGTCCGACATGCCACTTCCCTCTCTTTACACAGCAATTGTTCATCCATCAGTAATGTTATAACTTGCTTAGACTTTTCCCGGATGTAATGGCCTGAAAAAATATGAATTTTCTTAGGAAAAGAAATACTAAGTCTATAGTTTATTCCTAAAATAAAAATGTGACCAAAGTGAAAAAAAAACTTATAACAAATAAAAAACTAGAAACAAATATATTCCCTTTCATATACTTTAAGGATAAACTAATTATATATTATCAGAAAAAAGAAGACAATTTTGCAAAGCCCAGGGCAGTGAGAGCCAAGCAGAAGTAGAACTACCACATTTACTTGTCCAGGGAAGCCTACCCCTGCCACAACCCCTCCCACAGGCCCTGAACACAGACCTGGACCTCAGACTCAGCTAGCCCTGTCTTTGGGCACTCACAGCACTCTACATTTGCCTTTTATAGCATTTCCACAGTCTGTTAATTGTTCACTGGAGAAAGAAACATCCTTATCCTCCGTTAGACTACAACTTCCATGAAACAAAACTACATGTGTTTAAGAGACACAAAAAGTTTGTAAAATAAATGTCTGCCCTAAGGAAATACTTTCCAAATGCTGGGGAGGAAACTGCAAGTTTAGGACGGAACATCATGTAAAGAGATTTGGAAATTCGATAAATTCAGTGATCCTGAGCACTGAGATTCATCGTTAAGAAAAACAAATATAGTAAGATCTTTAGAAAAAACATGTATTAACCTTCAAATAATTATTCCTGTTTCTATTCCTGACCCAGGGCTCCACAAAAATCTACTCTATTATTTTCTCAGTGCATGTTACCTCCATTCTACATTACAAATATGAAAATATACTGCCTCCAACTTGGTTTTCTAAGTCTAATGATTATGCCCACTAAATGTCTTCTAAATCCATCCTCTCCTTCTCTACCATTCTTAATGAAGACCCTGAAGGCCCTTTATTGCCTGTGGATGCTAAGCTAATCTCCCTTCAAATCTACCCTACAGAGTATCTTCAGGGAGAATGGGAAAAGGTAAGAAGGAGGGGCAAAATATCTTAAGTATCCCATCAAATTTAAAAATCTGAAGTCAAATTGACAAAGTAAATTCATGCTTTAAAGTACCACTCTGCTTGGCTTCAAATACACAGCAATAATAGACAATGGCAATCTCAAAAACAAAATGAAAGCCTCTATGAAGCAGAAATGAAAATGAGAAAGCACTAAACAGGACTGAAGCTTCAGGGCTTTTTGGGCCTTGATCTAGCAAGCAAGAGTTGAGCTCCTCAGATGTTAGAAAACCAGACCTGGTTTCACTCTTTGATGCTAGGTGGCTCTGAAAGGCTGGGTAGAAAAGAAGGGTGGAAATGGCAGCTAACTGCTTCCTGGATTATAATCTATTTGTAGCTGTGAATCTAGAAGCAGAAGGATGCTCACATGGCATTAAGACCTGGAGCTAAAATAAGCCACCTACTTGCTCAGTCCTTAGGTCTGTGACACTCTAACATCCTAATTTTATTGCAGGACATGAGCCCTGGACCACCTTTATAAGACCTGTGCTGCAGGCTCAAAGGTGGACTGTGGGAAGAACACTCAAGCCTGAAACTTAAAAAAGTTTTAATTTACATATATATATAT